TTTGATTGGAAATTTTTTCCCAAAATTCGTCGTCGTGGCGCAGTAAGTTGCGGGATTAGGTGTCCTGCACTGTATATCAAATTTTTTAAAGTCCACCATACACAATAAAGAGATTTATTAAGAAGTCCACTATAACGAACAAATTTTATTATAAAGTGGATTGGGAAAATAAAAAAAGTCTACTATAACGAGATTCACTATAATGAGCTTTGACTGTAGTTGTTTATTTATTTATTATATTTTAATTATTTTTTAAAAAAGTATAACTTGCGAATTCCAACTATTTATACAAGAAACAAAATTTTTTTTTAATATGAAAGGAACCTTCAGATCCATGGTTCCTCTATAGTAAAATTTTTTTGTCAATAAATGAGAAAAAAAAAATTATATTGATATCTATTATACACATTAATATAAAACCTTTCTAATGCTAACGGATAAAATAAACTCTTGATTAATATTATTTTTTTTTTCTACAATATTTAAATTTATTTCTCTTAATCAATTCAAATGAAGTAATTAAACAATCCAGAACTATCTGTTCTTTTTCTTCGTAACATCAACATTGCAACTCTTCGTCAACTCGATACAATGATATGCTTGCTTTGGCCCAAATTTGTCCTGTTATGAGTAAAGCTTTGGCTGTTCAAAGTACAATTCGTTTTCATTCTTCAATCAAATTAAATGAACGACCTACTTCTCCTTTGAAGCAAGTTTCCATCGTCTCGTCTGCTCCCAGCCCCATACTAATAACTTCTCCATTGACTCTCACCATCACATCCATCATAATCATCTCCCTGAACGACAACAAATTCCTTATAAACATGCTGTACTTTCTAGATAACATTATGTCAACTACTAATGTTAAATTATTCAATTATGAGGCACTTTATTCTGATAAATTGAATAAAAACATCAAGATATTTTAATAATGTTAATCGTCTTGCTAACCATTTCCAAAAGCTCACACTGTTAACATGAATGAAAAGGTTGCTGTTTGGTGTAGTAACAATTATCTTGTAATCGGTAGAAATCCTATGCTTCTTGAATCCATGCAGTAAGTTTTACAAATTTAATTACAGGAAATCTAGTTGGAGTTGTAGATTTTGATGGACTTGCAGATGTGCTTGAAGCTTTAGACGATGTAGATGTTGAATTTGAGTTTGTGATAGTATTAATGGGTTTTGATGTACCTGTATGAATATTTGAATATTTAAATGGTGTAAGCATTGGAGATAGTGTTGTGGTTTCATTTGTAGATTTTGTTGGACTTGTGAATTGAGATAAAGTATAAGGAGAAGAACCAGTAGTATAGAATGTGGATGCAGGTGTGTTAGGTGATGAATGAATGTTATATGAGCTAAATTTACTTGTACTGGAAATTGGTGAAGTCTCACAATTTGTCATAGGAGTATTATTATTATTGTCATAATTATCATTAAATGTATTCTCATTGACTTTCACTTTTTTTGCAGCTGGCTTAAATTCATAATATATATGATTTATATCAGGTGCTTTGAGGGGAAAAGGTATTGAACGCCTTGCTGTTTGTTTAGGCATGTTCTTGTGTTCAATTATTGATTGTTTCCTTTTATTTACTTTTTTTTTAACAGTTGCACTCTCAGCAGTAATGCTATTCAATGATTGTTCATTACTATAATTATCAATGTTATTATTATTATAATTTTCTAAAGATGTATTTGTTTCAGAGTTTTTATCTAAAAGTTCCTGTGGCTTTCCATTACAATATTTACAAATACAAGGAACATTTCTATCTGATGCAATATATATTGCATGTGGTATAAACTCATTAGGTGATCTGAATCGATGTTTACCACCTGATTGAATAAAAGTGTAGTCATTAAAATTTAATTTTTCTTGAAAAAAAAAAAAAAAAAAAAAGTGATTATGTATGATATATCACCATAAAGATAAGTATCTCTTCTGGTATCTTTATTTTTATATTCTTTTATATGTTCATATAATGAGTAACCTTCAGGAATTTCTAACAATGTAGCTAAAAGATTTTTATAAAATAGATTTAATTTTTTTTTGAATGATGTAAAAATAGAAAATAAATTTATATAACACAATAATATATATACATTCTATCATCATATCTTTAAATTCATCAAAACTTTTCAACCATTTTTCTAACCCTTTACCAACTTTTGTTTTCCATAATATTGCCTTGCTATCATCATGTGTTACAAGTCTAAAATGGGCTTTAGCTCCACTTTCATCAATTATTGGGACTTCATTTATTTCATAGTTTGATGATGAACCATCACTTACAAGTAATTTTAAACCATCATTTGGTAAAACGCGAATTTTTTGGGGGTCATAATTGTAATTCATCTGTTTATTTTTTATAAACAAATTAACAAAAATTTTTTTTTTAAATATGAAATATTTTATGTAATCGGAATGTATACACATGTTCTCTCAACAAATTAGTAACAGTAAGTTATTTATGTTGCACCAGCTTATGTAACCAATAGCAATTATCAATATTTGGGACCAGTAATTTTTTGGATTGTAAAATTGGCATTTTCCTATTGGTTTATTGCGTTGTTGTAGAGTAATATTTTGTTTAGTTTTAGATCATTGTTCAACAGAACAAATACACATTATACAAGTTACAATTAATGCAGTTGATTCAAGTTATGTTATTTAAAGTAAATGAAGATGAAGGTAGAAAGAAAAAGTCTGTTCTTCCTGTCAGAACCCTAAACAAGTTGAAATTTTCTAACCGTATGCACTAGCGGTCAAAACCACCATTCAAGATATTGAATTTAAGCAAGATAAAAATCAAAATATTTAGGATTAAGAAATGGGACTGGGGTTGAAAATGGGAGGGTGAATTGTACCAATTTACTCAATTTTCATTCATTGCCCATTAAATAACATACACAACTAGTTAAATAATTTATATATTCAGGGTTGTGCAATTTCGATGTATGAGAAGAATCTTCGTACGTACGTACGACTGACTTCGTACCATTGAGTTCGTACAGTTTCGTTGTGGTCGTACACCTGTACGAGGAAATTTTACATATGTACGTACGTACGTACGTACGAATGTACGATGTATCAGGAACGATGATTTTCTGCGGTGGCAAAATATTACTTTGTAAAATCCTATAATAATAATATTATTAAGCCGATAACACTATTATATAATTAATGGATTACCAGATGTTGTAACTGGGGTCTTAATACTATTTCATTATCAGAAAAAAACTGATTATCATGTTATATATGCTTATTTAAATCCCTTGTTATTATGTAGTAGTATTATATACGTTATTATTACAGTCAGTGTTGTGCAATTTCGTTGTACGAACGTACGATGATTTTCTATGGTGATAAAATATTATTTTATAATAATATTATGCTGTCAGCCCTATTACTATTACTATTACTATAATTAAAGGTCGTATCAGATCGTAATACTACTTCGTTATCAGAAAAACCCTGATTATCATATTATACTTACATTATTCTGGGTGCATGATTGTTAGTAATATTAGTAGTATTATTATTGCCGTAATTCCTAAATTTTGTTTTCTATTTATTTATAATAAAATCTTTACATTCTTGTTAATTATATTATCAATTTAAAATAATTAATAGTAGTATTAAATATCTTCAATCATATACGTAGTTAATTCCACAATATAGTCAAACCTTGACACAGCGGATGAACGGTACACATAAACAAATTTTATTTAAAATCCGTTGTGGCAAGATTACTAAATACTAATACTAATCTTGCCACAGCGGATTTTATACATACTATTATTATTAATTTAGATTATAAATATGAAAGCTACAATTTATATATATACTCCTTCTATCAATTTCTAATTTATTTAATAAAAATAGAGACAAGAAATTCCAGAGGACTAAATTTTAGTGATACAAAATAAACTTATTTTATTCCTGTAATCAATCCAAAGATATAAATTCATGCTAAACTTAAAATCTTATTTTCACTTTGGCATTGACTTGGTTGTACTGGTTTTATTCAATTTCAATCTGGCTGATACTTTTCTAGTTAATAAAATAAATAAAATAATTATTAACGATACATTTCAAAGAGTAAAAAAAAAAAATTTTTAATCAAGTCTCATTTTTTTCATCTCATGCTTCCCAAAAAATTAGTAAAAATTGATTTTTTTATCAGCTCAATGCTCACTCGATCTGTTCGATATGTTCGATCTGTTCGTTCGTTCGCTCATGTATAATGATCATCACTCTTCTACAACGTCTTATTTCCCGTAACACTGTTTATTTACAAATATAGGCAAACAACAAATTTAATTTACAAACAAGCTTATAACTGAGAACGCAATGCGAGCTTTTGCTTTTCGTGTCACAAAACACACATACCGTGCTACGCGAGAATAAAAATTCAATTAAGTTGGGTTTTGCGTCTTCTTCGTCGCAAAGAGCAAAAAAAATGACATCACTCGGGCCAAGACAATAGTCTATTTTATTAAATTCGAAACATATAAATAGGACAGCCGTCCAAACTTTTTTTTTTGTTATTTTTTCGTAGAGAAATTCCTCTCGGGCCATTTCAGCGCACAGAACTCAACATTCTACATTCGGCCACATGAAATAATTGTTCGTTATTAGTATACAACGTTATTACAGGAGAGACCGTTCTGGTTTTAACCCACGCAATTATTGATTGATTGACCAATTAAAATCGTGAATTTAAAAATAAAACATTTAATGTGGGTTTGATTCATTTTGTCAACAATCCCTTCACGAACAATTGTTTCATTAATAAATGGTTCGAATTTAAGAAGTTGGAGGCAACCATTTGAAATAGTCTAATAAATTAAACCGTACTACTCGAAAATGTATTTAAAGGGTTGGTTTTCGACTTGGTTGAAGAATAACTCTCTTCCTAACTCTTCTCTTGGCCATATCTCTCGATATAATCAAAATAACCTTAATATAATGAATGTCAAAATGATTGTAAACGCGACCAATTTAAGACATACGACCGAGAGAAAACATGAGCGATGTATGAAAAAATAAAACAGTTGTTTCGTTAACAAATGGTTCGAATTTAAGAAGTTGGAAGCAACCATTTGAAATAGTCTAATAAACTAGATGAATGCTTTATGACAGTGACTTCGTCACTGGTGTTACTTGTTATTTACTGTTTTAAAGTCTCTATTCAAATAAAAGTTACTATTTGAAGAAAAATTTCTGGCCTTCGGCAAAGTTGAATGATTTTAATATTGTTATTTAATCACCAATAAAATAATTGGATCACGGAAAATATCTCAGACAACGGAGAAACAAATATTCTGATGTAACAGACCTTTAATTCTCAGATTAAATTCAAACAAAAGAATTTAAATTATTGGATCACTTTAGAAATAACTTGAAAATAGTTCTACACAGAAAGTTCAAGTAATACATTTAATTAGGAATAATAAATAATATTGTCCTTATCTTTGTCCTTGTTGTTGACTTGAATATTGTATTTTTGTAATGATAATAAATCTATCCCTAACAATGAATCCATACCAAATCCCATGCATAATCATTTTTTCTCTTGTTTTATATTTGTCCATTTTTTTTATTTCTTTTCTTTTCTTTTAGTGAGGTGATATTTAATGAATTTTATTTAGTAGTTTTGAGAACGCACCTGACTTGAGTATGGAAGAACAGCTAAGGAAGGCACCCACTAAGAAACGTGATCAGTAATGTAAAATCTAAAAAAGTTATTGTTTAGTACAAGAAATTGTTTAATGATAGTGAAAGATAGTTTTGAGAGTAAAAACATGCCAGAAATTGTTGTTACGATTTAGTATAAATAAATGATATTAGATTAGTAAAAAAAGTAGTTAATTTTTAATTTTTTGAAATTAAAAAAATCCCACTTGCGTAACAATAATTTTTTTAAAAAAACGAAGGAAACAATTTTTTTTGTAGTTAATTTTTAATTTTTTGAATTAAAAATCCCATTTGCGTAACAATTTTTTGTTAAGAATAAAGATATTTATTACTAATAAAAAGAATTATTAATATTAAATTTCCCACTTGCGTAACGAAAAAAATTTTTTTTGCCTTAGTACTAATCCCGCTTGCGTAACAATAATTTTTTTAAACAAAAATTTTTGCCTTCAGCGAATGAAAAATGAAAAAATAACTAATTTTTTGTTTTTTACCTTAAGAGAAATGAAAAAACTGATGGATTTTTTGCAACCTGCATGCTATAATTAAAATATTTCTCAGATAATAACGTATAGTTAAAAAAAATATTGGCAGGAGAATTTTTATAGTTGATTAATTTTTTACATAAAGTGAAAAATAAAGTGAACCTTTACATATTTGATCTACAAATACATTTTCTACAACAAAACGATTACTTTTGTTTTCAATTCAACACCCAAATTTTACAAAAAATTCCTTCCCAAAAAAATATTTTAGTTCTAAACAGAATGCATTAATTCGAATTCAATTCTGAATCCAATTCAATTCCGAATCCAATTCAGAATTCTTATCCATATTCATTAAAATTGAACCGCGTTTTTTATTTTTTTTACCTGAAGATCTAATTAGTTGATACTTTATTAACATAAAAAATTACACAAATCTTGATATATGAGGCAAATGATAAATGTATTAACCCTTTTTATTGAAAAATTCGATAAATATGGAAGGTTACATGCATCAAAACTGTTAGCCCGAAATTTATTATATGTTAAAAAAAAATCAGAAATTGACTGATGATTATCAGAAATTAAATAAAAAAAATCAGAAATTGACTGATGATTATCAGAAATTGAATGATGATTATCAGAACTTAATATTAATATTAACTGTAATATTCGTAAATTATTTAGAATGTAATAATAATAATGAGTTTGAGGGATTAAAAATTTATAATTATTATAATAATAATGAAACTAAAAACCAACCTGCATCCATTGCAGGAATTTATAATTTCACGATAAAATTTATATTAATATTAATAATAGTTTTACCACTCTTTTTATTTTATGATGAATTCAATATATAAAACTTTTAAATGTGTTTCTTTTTAATATTAATGTATGTGTATATATATTATATTGTTATTATTATATTAATATACTGTTAATCATTTACAAAGAAATTAAAAATAATAATCCAGGCAAGATACAATTATCATTTGTTACTTGATCTATCCAAAGAGCTAATGAAGGCGGATTGATTGATATAATTCATTATTTTATTGAAAAAAAAATGTAAAAATAAAAATAAATAAAATTTTTAAAAAAACATCATAAAAAAATCATAATAATAAATCATAAAAAATCTTATAAAAATCTTATAAAAATCTTATAAAAATCTTAAAAATCTTATAAAAATCTTATAAAAATCTTAAAAATCTTAATCATAAAAAAATCATAATGATAAATCATAAAAAATCTTATAAAAATCTTAAAAATCTTATAAAAATCTTATAAAAATCTTAAAAGTCTTAATCATAAAAAAATCATGATAAATCATAAAAAATAATCTTAATCATAAAAAAATTAATAATAACAGTCAGTGTGCAAATCCTTTCTCTTTTTTTTAATTAGTGTGTGTAACATTCACTTGAATGCCAAAAATTTCTTTTAACATTTATAACACATAAACTTCTTAATAGATTAAAAAAATGATATATATAAAAATTTTTCTTGAAGTTTCAATAAATATTTTGGCATCTTTTATTTAAAATAAAGCCGCTTTTTGAACTCATAATAGTGGGTCAAAATACACACGAAAATTTACACTAAAAACGTTGATTCTTTTCAACAAGGCAACTTTATGCTGATTACAATAGTCAATAAACCAAAGCGAACCTTGTTCTTTAGGCTTCATTAGTACCATAAAGACGACTCACTTGACGGAATTTTCAAATATATATATAAAACTTAGATCTGCTTTCATATTTAAAGTAGGTAAGATAGTTTAATGTTTATTTATTCTTGGATAACAGATGTAATGTAGTTTTAGCTTCTAATGTAGTTACACATCTTGATCTTTTTTATGACAAATATGTCTGTATTACAATTCAAAGAAGAAAGCAAAACGATCACGAAGGTTATCACAATCATGAAGGTTATCACAATCACAAAGGTTATCATGATCACAAAGGTTATCACAATCACAAAGGTTATCACAATCACAAAGGTTATCACAATCACAAAGGTTATTACGATCACAAAGGTTATTACGATCACAAAGGTTATTACGATCACAAAGGTTATTGCGACCACCATCAAAGGTTGTGACTAACATCTATATTCTTGATTGGTATTATTTGGATAGTGTGTCTAAAGGTTGGTT